GAGTCTCACACTCGCCCTCACTCTTGTCCCTTTGAGCCTCTGCAGAATGAGACCAGGGACAGTTCGCAGCATCCCTCACTTCTGCCTCTTCACACACATTGAGGCAGGCAGGCGGGCGGGCGGCCGGGTGGGCGGTTGGTTTGTATGCAGACGGAGTATCTTCTCCACTTAGCACAGGGGATTTGCTATGCAGACTCAGCAGAAGATGAGGGGGTAACTGGGTGGGAGGAGGAGGAGGACGAGGAGGAGGAGGAGGAGGGGGATTGGTTGGTGGGAGAGATAATCTATATTTGGTGGGATACAATGGTGATGTAGCAAAAAGCTTGCTGTTAGCACCCAGGGAATGTGCTCAGCTCGGGGCGGGGAGGAGAGAGTTTTAGATGCAGCAGACTGCTGCAGAGTGACGCCTGTTGTTTCGCACAGGAAAGCTGGAGCTGCACGATTACATTGACACAAAAAGTTGTGTGATATGATTCGTAGTTAGTGTGGGAATGATTTAATTTGATTTTCACTAAAAAAACGATTAAAAACATGATGGTGTGAAATTTGTTGGTGTCTACAGAACTAAAGTTGTTGCACATTTTACCTTTTGCAGCTTCCTGCGATTTGCATATTGCACTCATACCAACACACACTACTGCAGACACACACACGTTCAGGAGGAAAAACCTGCAGCAGTTGGCACAAGACGTGTGCTGCTGGCACATTAATTCATTGCAGTGGTTATCCCACGACCCCACCACATCTTACACACACACACACACACACACACACGATCATCCCACTGCAACACAGATTGAATTTACTCTGTGCACAATGTGGACACGAACTGTAAGTAAAAACATATGCAAACACAGTTCTCCATGCAAAAGAAGAGACTAGAGTAGAAGCATTATCTGTATCAGATGGGGGGATATCGCACACTGCTCCATTTATGGAGAGAGATGAGAGATGTAGCGAATTAAAAATGGCTTATGACTTCTTTAATATTTGACTACTGGAGGGTTTACAATCTGCAATATAATGTGAACAAACAGGTGAATGTTGAAACATACGGTATCAATACTGTAAAAACGTTCTGAATAGTAAAAAATAGACAACCCCGTCCACACACTTTTGTGTACTTTTTGGTCTGAGGCTGTTTTATTGGTTTGGTTTTTAGTAACTCTGTGAATAGATAGCATTTAGCATTTGCTTTGTCTGTATATTTTATACACAGTATTTGTGACAACAGATAGTTTTGTGCCTAAACCTAACCTAAATAAGTTGCTGAAATGTTACAAATACTCTGTCACTGTAATGGTGCTTGTAAAGTCATACTGACTGAGCTGCTAGAGGAGTGGGTCCTCTCTGCTAAAATAAAGGATGAATAAAAAATAAACTAGCTAATCTCTTCCCTGTTTCTTCTTTACATTGCCCCCAATGCACAAAGCTCCATGAAGAAAACACTTTCCCAGTTTGTGCCCTGACCACAACCCCATCCAGCACCTCTGGGATGTGAGCCAGACCGACATCAGTGTTGACCAAACTGAACGGGAGCAAATCCCTGCAGCCAGGTTCAGCATCTTTTCAGTGCTCATGGTTTCAGAACAAGATCAACCAACACGCATGCTTATGTGTCCACATACTTTTGGCCACGCAGTGTATTTGACTAGTGTCCGTGGGACTAAAAACTGAAAACACTGAAACTGAAATGATCACAAAACCAGCAAAGAAAATCAACGATGGCATTTGGCTTACAGATTATACAATGAAAGGGCTGCGATCCCTTAAACCCGCCAGTCAGATGGTCAGAAACATGGAACTGTCCCCTGCCCAGCAAACTGCAAATTCATGCAAATAAAAGTCCGTTTCGCTTTGTGTCTTTGAAGTTACACACCGTGCAGCTTATCCCAGCATCCAAGTTTCAAATAATATATACGCTCAGGTTAGGGTAAGCTGAATGAAAGGCTAAAATACAATTAAAGCGATTTAATCCTGTGAGTAACGCTGGATCACCTTGAACTGTACTTTAATGTTAGATGAGAACCCAACATCACTGCTTGACTACCTCAAGTTGTGGTTTTTGGGAAGGAAACGTGCTTTTTGAAGGGAAATCAGAGTTTCCGTTGTCAAGCCACTTCAAACACGGTATGTTCAGCTCCTTTTGGGCATTATTATAACAGAGTCTCACACTCAGAGAGCAGGAACCTCCTTCAACACGGTTCTCCAACTGTAGCCATCGGTAACGAAACACCAAGGTCGCCATGGTTGCTGCGACTTTTTAACAACCCGAGGAGAAGTTTACATTTTACAATCACACAACAAAGGTTTTTTTTTGTCTCTTTTTAAAAGTGTTTTAGGAAGAAAGAAAATAAAAGGATTGCAGGTTGCAACACCCTCACCTCACCTTTCCGTTCCAAGTGTGTCAGATAAAACTACGGTGGCTGCAAAACTCAGAAGGCTGTAGAAACACAGCGTTCCAATAAAAGTGAATTTTTCACATGGTTCTACTTTTCAGTGAATTAAAAATGTACTGAAAGTATAATTTAACTGTTACATGAATAATATAACATTAATATTTCTACAATCCGTTCTCCGACTTGCTGTTAGACTCCGATATAATTCCCATCACCTCCATTTTTTAGCTGAACTGATTAGAACATAATCTTATGATTCAAGTTTCATTATTAAACCGTCGAATTTAATGAGCTGATCATTGGTCCTAAATGTCACCAAAATCAGCTGAAATGTTTCGGACACAAGCTAATGACAGCAGCTGTTCAGCAGAGGCGATTGGAGGTTTGGTTCTGCCCCAACAGGGAGCGCTTTATGCTCACACACATTGATTGAACTGCCTCGGTGGACGGGAGCAGCATTCATCAGGCCTTTAATTGATTACTGTTCACCTTCAGGAGGAGGAGGCTGGTTCTGTAAGTATGCTTGCTGACAATAAGCCTCAGGCCGGTCTGTTTATGTTTCATTCTATCACAGATCAGCTCAGCGCGGTGTCACATGTCATCGTGCACTGCGGTGAGAAGGCTCGGAGAAGAATGACGAAAGGAATGCAGTTAATCGCGCTGCAAGTCGTCTGGGCGCATGCTGAACATAACTGTTGTCAGACTCCAAAAGGTCTCTCTTTTGTTTCTTTCTTTTTCTGTCACAGCTCAGGCATGTTGCTGTGAGCAGGAGACGACCGACGGCTCACTCAAGGAAGTCATGAGGAGAAAATCAAGCTATGGTCGAGGAATTCCGGTCACTGAACGCCTGATTTCGTAACCGTGGCTTTGATTTAAAAGAAAACCACAAGTACAAACAGAGCCTACTGCCGCTGACCACAAAGCCAACCAGCTCAAGAAGTCTCCAGTTACACAGCATGGCCAAAAGTTTGTGGACGCCTTAACAATGCACCCATATGTGATCATCATCATGCGTTAATCTGCTGAATGTTCCCACACACGAGCATCAGTGAAATTAGGCATGAGGAAGATACACTTTATTGATCCTAGGCAGAGAAATTAAAGAATCAACGCAGCAGAAGTAAAAGATGGTTTCAAAAACAGTAAAAGTTCCCTGTGGAGTACCTCTAGTGGCACTATTGATGTGAAAGCACATGAGGACATAAGGTGTTGCACTGTTCCACTGATCTACAGGTGGCAGTGCGCCGAGAAACGCTGCAAGACCCTCGACAAAGACAGCGAATACGAAGACGTCTTGCTAGTTAACGTGGCTGTAAATAATGCAAACGTTTAGAGAAAATTGGATTTGCAAATGTTCTAGGAGGAAGGAAGTGCATTAGAGCTGCAACGATCAGTTGATTTATTGATTAACTGTCAACTATTAAAATAAATGCCAACTTTTTTGATAATCAATGGATCATTTTGAGTCGTTTTTTAAGAGAAAAAATTCAAAATTCTCTGATTTCGACTTCTCAAATGTGCAAATCTGGTTTCTTTAGTCTCCTATAACTGAATATCTTTGGGTTGTGGACAAATCAAGACATTTGAGGACCTTTTCTGACATTTTATGGACCAAACAACTAATTCATTAACTGAGAAAATGATTGACAGATTAATTGATTGATTAAAATAATAGTGAAATGAATTCGTCCCGTTTGTTAGGCCTCAAGAATACACACAATGTGTTTTGTTAAATGCAAACGTACATTTGTTTCAGTACTATTTACTATAAATGAAGCATGAAAACACAAAAGGTACTGCACTTATGTCAGTGTACACAGTGTTTAGTACCTATAAAAAGCTTGTAACAACTTTAAAAGTCACAAACAAACCATGTCGTCATGCCAACAGTGGCGTCAGATCAGATCATTTTAGTTAGTTAGGGCCTTTGGTTGGGGCCCAGATGTCGGGTGATTAGGTCCGGCCTGCAGTCAGTTTTCGAGTTCATCCCAAACGTGTTAGATGAGGTTGAGGTCAGGGTCTTATAAGCCCTTCCACATCAAACAGGGAAAACCATTTCTGCACTGGGGGGCATTGTGAAGTTTAAACAGCAAAGGGAACAATGTTGTCTAACATATCATTGTATGTTGTAGCATTAAGATTTTTGATTGGGACTGAGAGGTGGAAACTAAACCAACACCCAGTGAGTCATCAGTGCTGTCCACATACTTTTGGCCATATCATGTGTAACTCTGTAACATGTAGACTTTGCTAAAAGATAATCTCATAAAATATAAGTAATTCTTTATATAAAAAAGGTAAATATGTAGCTGTGATGATGGAAGTTTAGTTGCAGATTTTATTAAACTGTAAACAGATCTGACCCCCCCCATCATTCTTCCTCCAGCAGACCATGCAGTGAGCCTAAAGCTGCAGTAAGCTCCAGTATAAAGGACCTCTTATGTATCTTTCCACGGTGGCATTGTGTACCTGGCACTGCGATAAGCTTGTCCAGAGGACGTGCACATTTCTAACATATTCCAAATTCTTTGTTTTCTTTCTGCCGTGTGCTCTCTGTCCTCTGTTTTAAGGTTGACATGTGGCCTGACCTGCTGCACTCACCAGCACTGCGCTGAAGCGTCGCTCCAGCTCTTCTTCAGGTGGCATCGGGAGTTTCCGCCCCTTGGTTTGTTTCTGGGAGCCCGTGGAGCCCAGAGGGGCCGCCGCCGCCTTGCCCTCCTTCCCCTGAGGTATCTCCATGTTCCCTGCTGCATTTCCCATGACTGTATATCCGATAGATCCCAGAAATACACATACAAAAAAAATAAACCTGCTCCCAGAAATGTGCCTCAGCTAAAAACAGTGCTAAAAGTTAATATTTCTGATTTTCTAACTAGTTATTTAAAGTTAACTTTGAAGCTGTGTGAGGCACCGGCCTGTGACCTTTCTTTATTTCCATGACCCCAGGCTGTTGGTTCATGCTGAATTGCACCCGTTACTCGTCCATGCTCTCAAACGAGGAGAAAGCGGTGGGATGAAATCCAGCCCTGCCTCTGAATGAGATCCTGAAGCATTATGAAACCCTAGAAAGAGGGAAGGGGATATCCTGAGAGTGACAGACAGAGTGACAGCTGAAAGAGAAAAGGGGAGGAGATAGAGTTCAGAGCCTGTAGCTCTTGCACACAGGACGAGGCTGCAGTGAGAAAGAGAAATGAAAGAGAAGAAGATTAACCTGGAAAGGTATCACTTCTGGGTTCTCCTCAGCACAGGTGGGGGAGAAAACTACTCCAAAAGCTGCAGTGCTCTCTGGGAATGAGAGTTAGTTGGGCTTGCAGGTGGTCTACAGAAGCCCTCCATCTGCTGTTGGATGCTGGGAGTCTCTGGGCCTTTGATCTCCATATCCAGAGGAAAAAGAGCAAAAGAGGGGAAGGCAGAGATCCAGCAGGCAGCCACTCTGTCTATCTGCAACAGGGACAGAGAGAGAGACAGACGGCAGCAGAGGCATTAGTACTAACAGGAGAGCTCAGGGAGATCGGAGCTCTCTGGGTCCTAATGCCTCCAGGTACAGGGAGGCACACACTCCTTCAGTAAAACACAGAAAGCTGGAACAAGCATTGTGTGATCAGGAATTTTAAAGGTTAAGTTTGATGTTTTTCTGCATTTTTCTTACAAACACCTAATGTGGAATGTCTGCACATCCAAAGCCTGAAATATCTCATTCCTCCGTGCCGTAGAGCTCCACCAACTATTAAAAACACATAAATGAGCCACACTGTTGCACTGGTGAGAGGTTCACACACTCTGTAGTTGAACACATTCACTAGAGCACCAAATGTGTATCAGTCAGATGAGAATAGTCCACTACGAATGCCCCATTTTAACTTCACTTTACGGCTGTTTTACTGAGCATTTTTGAACAGTAGGAACCAGGAATCATTTTCCAGGAGCTTTCCAGGAGTTTTCTTGACAGTATAGGAGGCCACTTGCTAACAAACAGTCATATAATTTACAAGGGGTATCGTATCGCGATATTTTGTTTTGTGATATTGTGATTGATTCTCAAAAAACACACTATTGATTTTGGTGTTTAAACCCTCAACCACTAGATGGCAGTGCTGTAAATGTAAACTGATGACTGTGATATATACAAACGTAGATCAATGAATATATATAGTAAAAAGTAAAGTAAGTAAAAGCACAGATTTTATGCATTTGGTTCTTTATATTTTGACACTTTTGACAGATTTAAAACACACAGCTTACCTTACCATAATGCAGTATGTATTGAACTGTAACCCCTGTATCATGATACATATCATATCGCCCTGTTTACAGAAACCCCAGTTTTTTGTCATTACATACATTACAAGGTAAAGTAGAAAGTGTTTGTTGCACGTACAGTTAACATTGCTGTGCACGTATTTATTAACCAGTGGACGTGAGAAATCTGCTTGGCTTCGGCTCCAAAACTTGGTAAACTTGCCCTGAAGTGTCGTATGTGCAGGTTCTCATACGTAGGTGTGTATCTGAGTGAAGGGCTAAAATACAAATAAAAAGTTCCAGGACAACATTGATTATTTCCAGGAAATTTTCACATTTTAATAAATTTCCAGCTTTTCCAGGACACGTGGGAACCCTGTCAACACAATCTCCTGAACAATAAAGAACATAAAGAACAATGCTGGCATTATCCTTTACGTCACTACAATGTGAAATATCTACAGTTAGAGCAGAATTGCAGATTAATAGTGAACAACTAATCAATTAATTGAGTGAAAGGTGGGGTTGTTCTAGATTACATCATATTTAGAGGTGTTTAAAATTGTTTAAACTTATATAGAAGGTGGGTATCGTGAATATTATCAGAAACATTTGTGTTTTTTCCTACTATTTCAAATGAGTTATTATTGTTATATTATCAGTCTTTAGCTCAACAAGTAGAGGACCTGAGTTTTCATTTATGTTGGTGTTACAAACTGTAAATGTAAGCTGCAGTAGGTGTTGCACATTCTGCCATTCCAACAGGTAACAAACGGCCAAACGCCGGCGGCTCCCAGAACCAGATCCCTCTGCGATCAAAGCCTCATTCATACCAACATGTTGCACCATCACAAACTCCCATAATACCCTGCGTTCCTAACAAACCGCAGCTGTAATGTGGCTGCTAAAGAGGATCACGCACTTAATCCCAATCATATGTTGTGACATAACGTTTTTTACCCAGAGAGGGCCGGAGGACTCGGTTAGTAAGCAGGTTGTTGGTTACAGAATGACTACTGGAAGGTGGAAGCAGCCGTTAATAAATAATGAGTGTCACACTGATACCTGTGTGTCTGGCCACACCTGGTCAGCAGCGCACAGGACGTAATGAAGCATGGCACATTCAGAGGACGGACTTTGTTCACTGGTTTTACAGCAGGTTAGAGTTTAGATCAGTGTGAGGAGGAGTTCTGTGTTGGGAGGTTTGTAACGTATCAGGAGATACTGATTCATTATTGTTACAGAGTTGGGTTTAAGTTATAGTTATGGAGACCTTTGCCTGCCTTTATATTGTGTTTCACAGTCATGGTGTTGGCTCACATACACCAACTACAAAACTTGAAAAGGGTAGAAGAGCTGAAATTAGTCAGTGAATCAATTAATCCATAAACAACCAATCAGCAACTTTTTTTTTAAAGCGAAGAATCAGAATATTAGTTCCAGCTTTTCAATTGTAATAAAATCTGCTGCTTTTCTTCATCTTGTTTGACATTAAACTGAATATCTTTCTTTTTGTTGCTAGAGAAGAAGTGAATTTTCACTGTTTTCTGACATTATTTATACAGATCAATCCATCAATTAAAGAGCCAGTGTGTAGGATTTAGTGGCATCTAGAGGTGTCACCCGAGGAAGTACGGTGGCTGCAAACTGTGTGAAAAACACCTCTATCTCGACCCAGTGTTTGCATTGTCCCTTTTGGGCTACTGTAGAAACATGGCGGTTCAACATGGTGTACTCCTTCTGCTAATAGATTCTCCTGAATGTTACACACTGGACCTTTAATCAAAGAAATCATTTGCACATTAACCAATAATTAAAATAATTATTAGCTGCTAGTATTTAGAACCAGTTTTCACTTTGTTTTAATTATTTGAATCTCTTAATAAATTAAATGATTCAGGATAAAACTGTCTGTCTGTCAGTATGGAAGTGGGAGTGTAAACCTGGATGTGGTTAAAGAGATTACATTCGAGAGGCACATTTTTGCTGTGAAACCATAATGTGCTGTTGTTTCTGTCAACTTCACACCGCAGTGTCATGTTTTAAGGACTATAATACCGTGTGTCTGACATCTAGTGGTCAACACATCACATTACAGCAGCTGTAATCTTTTTCCAGACATTTCAAAAATAAATCTCTAAATCTAAGGCTTCTGTTTTAATTAACCCTAAAACTAGAGATGAGATGTGGAGATGGAGTGGACTCAAAAGTGGACAAAATCTTTTCAGTCATCTTTGATCATAAAAAACTGAGCAGTGGTGTTTTATAGATCGTTTCCATGCAAACAGGAAGGTTGTTTTCTCTTCTTTCTCTCTACAGGAGGACAAATCTGAATCTGAGAATCACCTTCACAAGGTTTACTTTGTTTTAGTCATTTTTGAGGATTTTTGACAGGCACAGCTTGAGACACTGACAGTAAAAGGAGAGGAGGGGGGCTGTGGTTTTAATATATGGAACCGCTCAGCAGCTGTTGCAGCAGCTGTGTGCAAGTTCAAACTTAGCCTAGATAAAACGTAAGTTATTACTAAGATTTTTACATTACTAAAATGTCTCTGCACCACAGAGAAGTTACAACTTCATTCTAAGTAACAACTAAATAGTTACACAAGTTAGTGTAGAGCATAAAACATAGACACAGAATCATACTCACTGATGATAAAACAGCAGCTTTTCTGCCACACATCATTTTTTTACCGAGTAGAGATCTATTGATGTAATCTAATCTCTTTATGTGGCGCAATCAATTTTAGTAGCTGATTTAGTTACAAGCCTCAACCGTCAACTTCACACCCTAACTAAGGAAAACTTCCACATAGCTGGTGCAACGCAGTCCAGCCCTCTTTTTTCAACAACATATACATTAACGGTTTAAAAAGCACAGGTTTGTTGACCCATATAGATGTGACAATCACACATTAAAACCGCAAGAGTTACAACATCCGGTAGACGACTGACTTTACATGGATCAACAAAAAGGCCACTCATTCTGTATAACCATCCGCTCACTGCACAACCTGAAACTTTAAAGAGTCATACAACAATAAAAATGCAAACCTTCAGACAGAATTAAAAACAACTTTGAGGAAACGTTGAGAAACCAAAGTTTAATTGTACAAACAAGTGAGTGAAGAAACCTCTACATTAATCAGTCTATATTTAACAGTCTTTGACACAGCTTATTAAAAAGTGATCTACAGACATGTGGAAGGTTAGAAATAAAGTCAGGTTAGGATTGTTTAAGATTTAAATATGGTTAATGGAAGCTTTAGATAGAATAATAGAGCAAATATCAACATATATCTGTTGAAAATATGACCTGACAGTACAGACAATAGACTTAAACCCTGGACAAAGAATACAGAATATACATTTGTACATATTAACCTGAACACGAGTGCTAAGCAGAGTCAGAACAAGTTGTGAGCAGATGGAAATCTGTTTAGTCACACTAAACAACTGCAATTAAATGGCTTTAATTAACTTTAATTTAACTGTAAAAAGTCTTGTGAATATCAAACACGACTACCAACCAGGGCTGTAGTGGGGTGTAAACACAGTGTATGTCCCTGTTTTAGTACAACTTAACGTTTAATCACACTGTAAAGATGATTTTGCAGAATTTTTAAGTCAGATTCAAACCTTTTTACCTGAGCATTATATGTCAGTTCACAACACAAATCCTCCTTTAAAAGTGCTGCCTGACACGTGAGAGGAGAGAGGAAGTGGACGTTGTGGCCACAGTGTGGCCTCTTTAAAGCCAAAGAGACTTGTGACTGCGGCACAATAACATTTTTTCCAGTGTGTGGACAGTTTCAATAGTTCTGTAAATAGTTTTGACATTTTAAATGCAATAAACTAAATAATAATTGAATATTGATTGGACCCTACACTAGTATATTTATATGATTTGGTTCTAGTCTCGTATTTGGGCACCTGATGTTTATTCACCTTTTTTCTAACTATAGAAGCCACAGACGCCACCACAGCTCGGCTACCGTGTAAAAGCATTTCATAGGATTTCAGTTCCTTGAAATAAAAGTGAGGTACCGCTGGCTTCATGTGGTCAGCGTTACGAAAATACGTGACTCACACATCTGCTTTTTGTCACCTGATGGCTGAAAAACAAATAAAGTGTGACCTTGTATTTTTGTCCGTAATACCAATGTGACTAGGGCTGGGTATCTAACCTCAAGACTTTTTGTGCAACAAATGAAATGTGTTAATAACGTTGCATCACCAACGTTTCAACCAAAACATGAATGAAAATAAGTGTTTTACATTTTTTAACCATAAACGAAGGAAATACAGTAGAAATCTGTAATTTCTTTAAGGACAGCTAAAGCAAGAGAGTTGTATGTCTGCTCTGGTTAATCTTGGCCTAAGCTCAAATCTGACCTGTGACCCTTTGCTGCGTGTTGTTCCTCCCCCTCTGTCTCCTACCTTTCCTGTCTAATAAAATGGAAAAGAACCCCTCAAAATATATTTTTATAAAAAAAAACATTTTCAACAATTTATATCTTGTTAATTCACTAAGTAAGAGCTATAAAGAAAGGAACAAACAAACCTTTATAGATAATATATAGTTGGTTAATTAGCTTTTTCCTGCCCCACTATCAACCTCTAATACACACACAAACATATACACATATAAATCATTATGTATTAGTATATTATTTACAAACAATTATCAATTGTATTGACAAAAAAAAATTTAATGATACCCAGCCCTAATGTTTAAATCAACTCCTTGTGATTGTTCCATCCATTGCTTCTGTATAGTAAGTGTACATTATGTATACTGTAGGGAAATATGCATTTAAGTTTATAGTTCACTCTACAGAATATTAATTATTTTCTGAAAACTGAAATTTGATGGCAGAAACAGTCTCGTAGCTGGAGTGAGTGCGTTCAGGGGAGGTCGGTGTGATGGAGCTCATCATCGTCTGTGGCAGCTGCAGGAGGCCACGCTTGCAGCCTGAGTCATGGAGGAGCCTCAGCACGTCATTACGGAAGCGCACACCAACCAGGGCGTACAGGATGGGGTTGAGGCAACAGCGGGTGTACGCCAAAGTGCAGGTGACGTACTCCAGCAGCGGGTCGCAGAACTGCCCGGCCATCTTGCACAACAGCACCACGGTGTACGGCAGCTGGAACACCAAGAACACCAACACAAGAGCTACCATCAGTTTCAATGTACGCTGACGATGCCACTGCTTCCCCCGCCGGTGTGCGTTCCCTTCCCACAGCACTCGCCCAATCAAAGAGTAGCATGTCACCATAACGAAGAAGGACACGCAGAAGACGGCAATGATGGCGGCGTTGGTGGCCATTTTGACTGTTCCACTCTTTAGCATGCCGCAGTATGCTAAAGAGTCTTCGTCAGCCTCTAACACCCCAGAGAAGAGGATTTCAGGAAGGCTAAGGAGCACCGCAACAAGCCACACACCTATGGCGGCTACTTTCCCGCCTGTTAACATCTGACTGCGCAGCCGGAGCATCTCTTGAGCATGTGCCACCACCAGGTAGCGGTCGACGCTAATGCAGGCCAGCAGCAGAAGCCCGCTGTACGTGTTGATAGCGTAGCATGCCCTCGTGGCCTTGCAGAGGGAAACGGTGAAGATCCAACCCCGGAAGGTGTCGGTGGCCTGTAATGGGAGCGTGAGGAGCAGCAGAAGGTCAGCCAGTGCCAGGTGGAACAGGAAGACGTCAGTCATGGAGCGAAGGCGGAGGCGACGGTAGAGGCCAAAGGTGGCAATCACCAGACAGTTTCCCACCACGCCCAGCAGGAAGATCAGGCAGAAAACACAAGCCTGGAACATTTTGATGGTGAACTCCTGCTTACCGGCCTCACACCAGCCAGTTGAGTTCAGGTCGTAATCA